ACAAAGGGAGGATCCTCCGACCAGGCGAGGTGATCATGCCTGGCGGGCCGCGGCCCAACGGTTGATGTTGGGAAGTTGTATATATGCTAACCGGCGAGGGAATTCTTTATATCGCGATACAGGATTAGCAATTCTTATTTTAGTAGTTACTCCGTAGTTCGGTGTGTCTTCATTAGATGGCGCTGTAGTATGTTTATGTGTCGAGTCGCCACAAACCTTTATAGCCTATTATACTATCTAACAACGAATGAACATTTATAGATCAAAATAATTGTGAATCAAAACGGCATTGTATTATAGAGCAAGTCATCTGACTAACGTTTCATTTTCTGGTGACGTCCTATACATTTATATAAGATACATAATAATTTATTTTGACAGACGTGGAAAGTAGTGGTTGGCAAAAAAATATTTATGTATATTAGAGTCTAAAAGGTAATTAACATACAAAGCCTAATCGATTTCAATAGCTAGCATATTATTATTATATTATTATATTATATTATATTATTGCATGCCTGGTTTTTGTTTCAGTGAAAGTCGTTAGTCCAAGAACGATTGAACGAGGTTGGGCTTTTGAAAAATGATATACCGTTTATCTGAATATTGGCTATGGCTTGGCTAATCCACAAAATACAAAAAGAAAATATCTATTTATTTTGGGCAACGTTTATGTTGATTTTAATCTCAATTTGCATGCCCCCACTTACTATAACTACTTCATACAACGTAATACATACATATATAACAACATTAAAATCTTCAGGAGCTTCTGAACAAAGTAGAGTATGCTAGGTTTATCTTCTGTAAATTTGAACGTACTTATTGTGACTCCTGAGTTGCAGACGTTCATGGGCGGCGATGGTCACTTTTCATCTTGTGACCCGTTTTCTCGTCTGCCCCCTCTGACATAAAAAATAACTTAAGTACGGGTAGGGCTATTACTAACTACCAGTTTTTCTGCAGGTTTTGTATTTTATACGCATTGTTCCAAAACGATACATTTTGTAAGTTCAGTGACTATTTCTCATACACTATAAACTATTCGTGGGAGTGATGCTTAGGCGCATATGGGCTAGCTGGCACGCAGAGATAACACGGCCTCACTGAAAATCAGTATTAAGCAATTGTTTCGTGGTTTTTACTGAATGAGTGAGATATGGTATAGCATACTGGCAACGGAGCGAAAGTATTACCTGAGGCCCGAGGGCAAGTTCATTTAACATCAATTCGGTCTCGACAGTGAGCGCGTTCGGCGTTACGTTTGGCCCGCACTGAAATCTCCACTAATCGCAACGCTAATTGCGCTTGCCGTCGAGAGCGATTAGATGTAAAATAAACTCAGACTTGGGCCTCTGATGGCAAGTGACTAGCACCGCCCATGAACGCATTAAACTCAAAAGACGCAAACTGATTCCTTAAAATTATTCAAAAACTAATTTATATTGTAACATGTTACACTTCTATCACATCAGTATTTTTAAACATTTAGTAAAAAATATTCGTTTTTGATTTTCTTAAGTGTTAGCTAAGGAAATAGAGGGGAATATGAAATTCGTCTTTAAGACAATTCGTTCCCATTTTTTTCTAAATAATGAGTGACTGATTATATTTACAATCGTATACGTTAACTTACGGATTTGCTCGTGTATAACCAACAAGTACTCATATACTACTAGGATATTTGCACAAAGTCATCCTATAAAATAAAATACCTATATTTATTTGAGCAACAAACCGGTCGCTTTATCGACCTTCAGAGAGTAAGCTGAACAAGAAAAACAACAATACAACGAAGAAGACATGGCGCGTCATCACATTCCCATTTTCACTAAAGGAACCACAGTCATTTATTTACTCGCAAAACGAACAGAAACAAATTTCAGTGCGTTGTCGGTTGCTTAACATTCTTCATGTGTTATAAATTACAGTACCAGAATACAAAACAAATTCGTTTCATCTGACTTTTGTCTACTATGTCTCTTCTGAAGAAAGTTAAAGATTTTATTTTACTTCTTTCCTTTTTCCTGATGATTTAAAATTAGAAAATAAAATGAAAATAATCTTTCTATATTCAATGTATCCCTCACGCATCTTGAATTGTTTTTAAGTATATAAATTAGAAGAATCAAAGAATGAACTACGTTTTCGTGCGTGCAACAAAGATATACATAATAAGCAGAATTATCGTATATTCTTTACATATGTGTCTAAATAAATATGTGACTTGTCAATTACTGCCTTGGTTTTGTACAGTTTTGTGCAGCAACATAGATAGTAGCCGTAAGTAACTAACATAGGTAAAAAATTCAGGTGTAAAGTAAATTTTATTGGAATTTTGTGGGCGTAAAGGAAATCTATCTCAGTAAATACAGCTCTAAACCAGTTCTACAATATTTCTTCAGAAATTTCCGTAAAATCTAAGTACTTTATACCTGAGAATTATCTAAATAGCTCAAGAAACAAAGACGCTATAGCCAAATTAAATTAAAAAAAGCTTTTGTACTTCTCCTGAAAAGTCGTATTTTGTTCTTAACGCCTTTTGAACCCAGAGGTATCGATATGTGAAAAGGCTGACTTACCGAAAAGTACAAATGAAATCGTTTAAAGAATATTTAAAAATACAAATCTACCTACCGATTCATATTCTATACACTCACTGTAAATGGTATCTTGGCATTAATGCTAACTTACTAATGGATGCTACACGGTATTAAGAGGAAGTTGTGGCATTTATGTCTCGCATGCGTCCAACTTTGACCACTTCTGGTGTTCTTAACGTTTACCTGGAAACATTCAACTTTTGTTGACAACTACTAACTTACGTTCACTATACCAAGATAAGGCTTTTATCTGTATTTACACAAGTTTATCTATATTTACAGATACTCAAAAATCAATATAATAATACTAATGAGAAATATTTTCAGTATTTTATTATCGATATTTTGAGTTTATAACGATAACTTCGTAATGTAAATCATACATTTTATAAACTTATAACTCTACATATTAAAAACTATACAATCTATAGTGAATTATGCCAGCGTGGCTAAATCTTTTATTATAAAATACAACCTGTTAATTGATTTTACCTGATTTAACTGGCTCTTTAGTCTGAATTAATTTTTCATAACTAAATACGACCATGACCTGTTTACATACATGTGTTCCTACTATATTATTAAAAAAGAAAGAAGAAGGACACTTTTGTGGCCACTGGTAATACACTATGAGTACCTATAGTACCAGCGCTAGTTCGCAGTGTAACGATATCTCGGCTAATCACTTAATTATCCGCAAGATGACAACTAATCATCTATGTTTACTTGTTGGGTTATTGTCATGTGGTTTTCATCTAAAAACACACACTAAAATATGTCTCTTTATGTTACAAAAACATGTCAAAAATTAATGGAAGCGACCCGAAGAAATGGCTTTTCTTAGATTCTAATTATTTTCATGTTACTTATTTTCTGTAAAAACCTCTGAAACTTATTGTTGGTCGTTACTCATCTTAGTAATAAGTGTCAAAATGATTTATTTATTCCTTGCTTACTTATTCGGGTGGGTAATATTTTTCATTTTATTTTCATCTTATGTATAATTTTGTTTTGATATTGTTTAAAGTGTTTTTGATTAATGACTATATTTTGTATGTAATAAAAATATGAATGAAATACATGAAAGGATCGAGTTAAATGCAAAAATCATAAACTTGAGATAGAATGAAATCGTTTTAATGGAATTAACCATTTTATTACATTTATAATTGTCGTCAGAATAATTTAAGTGGGTATACATAGGTATACCTGGCATTAGAAAAAATAATAATAATAATAAAGTTTAAATAATTCTCTTTCTGAGCTGGGAGCGACCATCGCCGTCGGCGTCGTCGCGATAGAGCGACATTCATTTCTAAGCATGTATGCTTTACGTGTACACAATTTACGTGTTTACTCGTAAAAGCCCCTGCTTTTTTTTTTTGTTTGATCATCAAAATATATACTGAATGAGTCTGTCTAAAGCAAAGTAAAAGAGTTTATCAATCTTTAGACTTAATAAAGTTGATAGTAGTCTTACTAATGTCGTTTTATCATTAAACATTTTCATAAACCCAAGAACCAGGGGGGAACAAACTCCTCCCCCCCGGTTCTTATGGAGAGGACTCAAAGGTTGGCAATGCACATGTAACCCTTCTTTCTTTTCTTTTTTCTTTTTAAAAAGAAAACTCCCGCATTAGGAATACATCCTGTGTCGCGGGGGACTTTACAAACATATATGAAACGGACACAAAGAACACCCAGACTCAGAACAACAATTTGTGGATCACACAAAGTGTCGTCCCATGTGTGATCGAACAGAAAACACTTAGCGTTGTACGCCACCCGTGCAGTCAATCTTGAATTGCAGATGGACAATAGGCGTCGGTAGTCACTTACCATCGGATGGCATGGCTGCTCGTTTGCTCTCCTATACTACAAATAATTATTAAATAATAACGCGCTATGAAAATAACAAGCAGTTCTCTACGTACATATTATCAGTTGAACCGACGTCAAATAATACTAACAATAAAGAGCACTAAAAACCTAGTAGTAATCGCGGTGGATTTCCATTGTCTGTGTCCGAAACTCATCATCAGATCTATATAAAATTAAAATGGACGGAATGAACATCATTCAAACAAAAAAAGAATTATGAAAAGCATAACTCCCTCATATTTAGACGGCTAAATATGAGGGAGTTATACCCCAACATACACAAAAAAATACATATAAATATCTATCTAACCTAATCCTTTTTGAAGTCGGTTAAAAAGAGTCATCCCTAATGCAAAAAATAAATGCAAATGATGCGAAGATATACTTACCATTATTTGCCGAAAAAAGTTTCTATATTTACCTGAAATTAACGTCGTCTAGATATTACTAGATTTTTAAAGTTATACAGTTAAGAGCATATACATATAAGTTTTATACTCGCATACAAATAAAAACATGGGTGAGCTTATTAAGGAAAAAAATTCTTCCTATTGCTTTTATTGGAAGTGTACTTAAAATACCTTCGTAAATAAAAAAGGCAAAGAATATTCACTTATTTTTTTGCTTTTTACTGAGAGTATCGTTTGGCAGCCATTTACTGAAGCGGTGCCTTACACTGAGAGGCTTATAAATTAATCAATTGAAATATTATTAGCAAAAGCCAAGGCCAAAATAACGAAAGCTGGTTTTACAGTTAGATAATCAAATAAATATTGAATACTCACTCATAAATAATTAGTATACGTAAAGTATACATTTCATGGTACTTCTTCTTTTTTTCATTTTAATTTTCAATTCTTGCTGTAAAATATTTTTTTATCAAACCGTTCTAAAATACTCGTATATAAAAGATTTTGCTTCCAATTTCCACGAAATTTACAAAATACGCGACAAATCCGTTTTTAATTGTACTTTTATATTTTATAATTAACCACAATTATGTTACTAAAATTAAATGATGTAAAAAACAGAACACTTAATATTATTTACCTTTTTTAATGTTATTTACTTTCATCATCAGCCTATCGCAGTCCACTGCTGGACATAGGCCTCCCCCATTGCACGCCACTTAGATCAATTTTGGGCTTCTCGCATCCAGCTCGTGCCAGCCATCTTGCTCAAATCGTCACTCTACCTGGCCTGTGGAACGTCCTTCACTACGTTTGCCGAGACGCGGTCTCCACTCAAGAACTCGTTTTCCCCAACGGTTGTCAGTTCTGCGGCTAATATGGCCAGCCCACTGCCACTTCAGCTTTCTAATCCAGTAGGCTATGTCGGTCACCTTGGTTCTTTGCCAGATCACCTCATTTCTAATACAATCCCTTAGAAAACACCGAGCATAGCTTTTTCCATAGCATGCTGCCCAACCCAACCGAATTCTTCTGACCACCTCGTTCTCGAAGTTGTTTCTACCTAATTGCAATGTCTGCCCGAGGTACACATAATTTTGATTTAATTATGGGCCTTGTTTGCTGATTCTGTACTTGGACGGACATAGTGGCGGCTTCGTAGAGACATTTCATCACTTGGATGTATCGCCAATCTACTTGGCAAAGCTGCAGGGACTCAAGAACAGAACAGAATTCGTCGAGGTTTCGCGCAAGACGATTCGTGATGACTCTCGAAAACAGCTTGTAGACGTGGCTTAGAAGGGATATGGGTCGATAGTTCTTCAACATGGTCTTGTCACCCTTTTTGAAGTACAAGACGACCACACTCCTACTCCACGCAGTTATTAACTTGTTTGTAATACTAACACTATGAGTCTAGATATCTGATAATAAAACATTTTATTTTATTATTTAACTATGTATATGCCTTAATTTTGTATTGGTATACGGTGAGCGCGTTCCACATTGCGATTGGTGCAGATTTCAGTGCGGGCCAATCGCAGCGCCGAAAAAGACGTGAAATAAACCCGCACTTGGGTCTCTGATAGTAAGTGACTTTCGCCGCCCATGGACACCTGAAAGTCAAGATTCACAAGTGTGCTGCCTTATTTTGAGTTCGTCTCTCCCATGAATTAGAGGTAGGGGAGTTTAGGCTCTGGTAACCTCGAACAAAAGCAACGAAAGAAGTGCCTAACATCGGTTTTCTGTAAAACCGTGGTATCACTCCGGTCGAGCCGGCTAACTTGTGCCAAAGTATAGCTCTCCTACGATACAACGTACGATTTAGAATCAAGAGCACTTAGATTCTATTTGTACATTTATACATAGAAAGACAGATATTTTAAAGGGTTATTTAAACATTTTCGACGGAACCGTTGAAACCCGTGAATAAAGTAATTGAAAATATAATTTTAATCCTGAATTCATTTTGTAAAAATAAAAGTCGTATTTTCCGTTTATACATCTATTTATTGTTAAAATTCTTCGTGGTTTCAGAATAAACCATTTTAGTTCAACATTTGTGGATAGTAGCTTAATAAACGGAGAAAAAATTACTTAGCAGTGTATAAATATTTTAATTATAGTATTTTTTATCTAAATATTCTAAATACTTTAAACTTTCATTTGAAAACCATTGCTTATCTTTCTATAATCGTTGCCATTGTAGGTATAAGCAGAGAGCTCAGTGCATGGCAGCAGCTTCGTTTGAGCGCTTTAAGAGCTTATTCGTTTCCGTATCTCGCACTAAAAACCATCTGTTGCCCGGCATTTATCAAACAAAAAAGCACTCTTCTGATTGTAAATTTAAGTCTTAATTGCAGTAGGCGAGTGTTTAATAGGATTCCGTTCTTTTTATCTAAAAGAAATGTGATGACACCGGAGCGTTATTAATTGTTTAAGGAAATGTACTAAAAACAGATGCATAAGGTTTTTTGGTAAATAAAAATTTAGCATACTACAACATTCACGATAATAGGGGCCGATTGTGGGGTAAACATTTTTGGCCCAACAGACAGTTAATGAATAAAAATGTAAAAAAATATTATTACATGGCAAAAAGCAACTTAATTCTATATTTAACCGATTATTTTTTCAATATTGATCTCAATAAATGATTTATTAAAGAGAAGTAAATGTGAATTGATAAAATCTCATGTTAGAAATATTTTAAATTGGTGAGTTATCATAGAATTGTCATAGCCAGAAAAAAAAATCAAATGCGAGGCTTCATACCGAATTATATTAACTTTTAAACTTTCCCTTTCATTGAGATTTGATTATTGAGTCGGGAATTATAACGATCTAAGTTAAATTTTGATCGCTTTAATTCCCAAATTAATAATTACAACTTGAAGATGCTATACCTCTTTTCCGAGTATGTCACCGAATAAAAAGGATCGAAAAATAAACTCGTGACTTTCTAAATTAACCCCAAACATCAATACATACTTTACAGCCATTTTTCAAGCTCAAAATATGTTTGTAATCTCAAAACGAACAGAACAGAAATTAAACAGAAACGAATTACTTGATACATACATTTTAACGAATTCTAGATTTTTCGGCTTTTTCTTTTTCTTTTGCAGCGAGATCACGCTTTTCGATAAATGTAATTATTGCAGATCAAATATAACAAGGACTTGCTCATTTGATTTCTGGCTTTGACACACAATTCTATATAATGACATAATAGAATAAATTAGCTGTTTTAAGCTCCTACATAATTAATTTCAAGGTTAAAACGTTTATTTGATTGGTATGACCTTCCCTTGATAAAGTCTCAGGGAGCAAAAATTAAAGCCCTTTCTTGGCTCTCGACAAGGAGTGCTTCTACATAAAACGCACTTGACATAATTTTCTTTTATTTCGACAAATCGACAATATTACTTTGAGATTTCTTAACGGGAATCGCGTCAAAAAAACCATTAAAACATTTAAGACATTTAACGTTTATGTACCTCCTTATATTTAAAGTTTTCGTAAAGGCATTCTAAACTTTTACTACACCTTACACATACTTTAAAGAATGACATCATACAAGCAATTGTAGGGGTCATAGGTCACATTACATTGATTCTATGAGTGCACCGGCCATTGTCCGAGGGCACACCCGCTATGACAACATACATCACACGCCCAGTAACAGCAATTACTTAACGTATCTTTAACACGATTATGTAAGCATTCTTGCTAACAATACTATATATGCAGTACGTTTTTAAAAATGTAAATAATATATATATATTTAAGGTTCACACTCTAATTTTTGTTAATGTGATAATTTTTGTTCCTGTTCCGGAGGATACCTGAGTCTCGGCGTTCAGACCAGACATATTTCTTTATTTATTTATTGAGTCTTCCTGCAAGCATTACTCTCGATCGATAGAAAATAATTGAGCTACCTATCACCATTGCTTTGCCACATCATGCCGCCATGAGTGTGGTCGCAGGTGGATGGGACATCAAAGTACAGTAATATAATAGAGAGCCGAGACTGAGCCTATACACCCAGAGGCCGGGTGGAGGAGGTGACCTAAATATGCCTGGACGTGGTCTAAATGAGAGTTTCTACCTAAAGATAGTAACACGCTTTTGCGGGCTAGGAGATAATAACAGATGTCACCGTATTAATACTACGTAAGGCGCATGCATGGCTTACCGTGTAGTTTTAGTCGGTTCGATTCCGACACACCGCCCGTGAGGTGACGGCACGCCCGGTGGTTTTCAAAAGTACAACAAAAGACCGCGCTTCGTTATTTTATACAATGTATAATTTTTTGCACCTTCTTATGATTTAACTCTTATAGGTACATAAATCAACTTACATCTGGTATATGCTAGTATTACCTATTACTTTTTTTCACGCGTGGGGGCCGTCACCCTACCGGGGTTTGCAGCGGAGTGGTGTGTCGGAATCAGACCGACTAAAAGTACACGTTAGGCCATACATGCGCCTTACATAATAGGCATCTGGAAATATCTGTTATTAAGACATCCGGTCCCCTTCTAGCGCCCTTACCACCTTCGGGTACATTCGCTCAGTACTACCTATCCCAGACTAGGGTTATATTGACTGTAAAATACATAAATTCATCACCAGTATACCAAATTAGATTTTAGGTTAATCGTTTTTTATTTTAATTAAAATAGTTAGTCTAGAGATGCTACATGTCTTATGTTTTGTCTATATCTACTAAAACAAAAAAGTTATATACTATTTATGGAAATTGGTCAAACATCTCCGGTCTCCCCTACAAAAGTTATCTTTAAAGTTATTGTAATTTTAATACATTGTCAACTTTTGCTACAGCTTGCCAGCTCCATCTTCATTGTATTTCATGTATTTATAAGTTCTTTTTGATGAGGGAAATAAATAAATATTATTATTATTATTATCTTCAGAAACAAAAATCTGATCGATATATAACGATAACGTCTCTTTTGCGATTTTTAAAACAATGAATAAGACTTTTATTTTTCCTCATAATTTTCATAATTTGTTTCATGAACTTCAATAAATGGAGATCACAAATTCCATCAAAACCTCCATTTATTGAAATTCATTAGTTAATGCAAGTTACTACCTGAAATAAATATACGTTGGTAAGGTAAACCTTGGAATACCTTGAAGAAAAAGAAATTTTCACAATTATTCATTATAAAAATATATATTTAGAGACATATTTTAATATTAGTTACACTGCTTAAAAATAACACATAATAAGAGGCCTCCTTTACACTCACACTGATGGGAATGATTTAAGCTGAAAATATGCAATTTTAGTAGCGCAACCAATCTACTACAAATTATTGGTTTTGGCAGACGTCATTCTTAGGTTCTGAGTCGATGACCAGACTCCGGTCCAGTTATCCTTAGTATAGCCAGTTCAAAGCGAAAGTCATTTATAGTTTATAGGACAATATGTGCGTAGTCTATTATAGTAGTAGTAGCGTTACTGTTAAAAAAAAAGTTCCTTGACCTTTTACTTTTTTATTATAGTGAAATTTAAACTTCTATATAATTATTATATTTAATTATATAATTATTATATATAATTACATATAGTGTATATAATTTAGGTCTGGAATGAAAGTGTTTAATAATTGATTGTTTCATTTACAGCGAGATCAACGGACACAGAGGAACCGACCCTCTCGATATTGGCCAGATCTACCGTCTACAACATTAATGAGACTAAAGCAATCTTCTGTGAAGGACATAATTTACTCGAGGTACTAAATAACTTATTACCTTTACAATTAATCCGATTTTTAAACGTTCAAATCATCACAACTGACCTGATAGGTATTTTCGTAATAAAGTATTGAATATCTAACGTTGACTGCAATATGAAAATGAAAATTGAATCGTTAATCTGCTAGTCTTAGTAATACTTTACTATTTCACTACGAAAATACTTTTTATGACAGTTGTGAGATCGAAACTTGATCGGTACTGAATTGAGACCAAACTTTTATTACGAGAATTGGCCCTCAGGTTCATCACACACATATCACACACAATAATAATAATATTTATTCATCCAATTAAATGTGGTACAGCTGATCTATCTTAAACTAACATGTAAATGACAATAGTTATAACATTTCACACATGGAAGATAGAAGTCGAAAGACGGTGTCCGAGCTAGTAAAAATTGTGGCGTGCGTGTCCATTGAGTTACCATACTTGAATTTTGAGCTTTTGAATCCGTCAGCCTTTAGTAAAAGTTCTCAAACAATTGCAGACTCCAGTTTATAAAAGTACCCACTCAAAAGTTACAAACGGTTAAAAGTGGTCCCTCAGTCGTGACTGACAAACATCCACATATCATAACCTAGTAAAAATTTACAACTGCTATAAATGACTACTCTTAGTGAAATATTTGTAAAACTAATTTATTAAATATGAACCTTTCCCGTTCACTGTATAAAAATAACTAGCATGCAGAAAGTGATCCCTCAATTGATAACCATAAATTCACCTTCAGTGGAGTGGAATTTGGAATATTTGAATGGCTCTAGCGTTCGTAAAAAAAATTTACAATTGTAAATTCTACCTCCAGTTTGTAAAAGAAACCTTCCAAAAGTTTCAATTGATTTAAATTGGGCTCTTCAATTAAAACGCTTATCATAAGAAAAAATCAGTTTACTAATCATTCGGCAGTTAAATAGACGAATGCTAAAATCTATCCTTTAGTAATTTTTATTTTCACTAACGATTACTTTACTGAGCAGTAGCAAAAAAATTACAGTTTTATTTAAATTATAATAATCGAATACAAGCGAAGAAGATTATTGTAATTGGTTTATTATTAATTTTAAATTAATTTAAGAATTAATAATAAACCAACAATGTTAAAAATAGAGGGAATGATAAAATAAAGAGTATGAATGTAACATAAAATTCGGTTGAACAATTCAATTATATTTTGGTTATTGATATGCCTTCATTGCTTACAATTTTACTCAATAATAATATTTATTTTTCTTTCCGTTTCAGCCTATTCAATGGTACACCCCCTCGGGCAAGTTAGTCGAGGAGCGTTCTATCAAGAATAAAAGAGTATTCGTGGAACGAAGGGAAAGTGGCACCCTAGCAGTTCTTATCATGCATTCTATTAAGATCAGCGATGGAGGCAACTGGACATGCAAATCAGGAGAACTCCAAGAAACTAGGGAGTTTATTGTAGGAGGTATGAAATAACTTGATTTGATACAGTTCAACAACCTTTGGCCAAAGGCTGTTGATGATGATGATTGATGATACAGTTCATGTTTATCAAAATATCTAAGTATTTTTATTAATAAAATAACACAAAGCCAAAACTTTAGTCTCCAAGTTACTTATCAGATTACTTAAATTGAAAAACTGCTACAACTAAAAATACGAACATAATTATTATATTTACAGAAAAAGTAAGCCTTCCTGTCAAAAACGTTTCCATGGAGGGCGAAGAAAGCAAGTCTATAAAATTGACTTGCGAAGCTGTTGGATATCCTGCCCCAGTTGTTGTCTGGTATAAAGAAAAGCAAGCAATTTCAGGTACGATATTATAAAAAAATACTATTCATATTATGTTTTAATTAATTGTAAATGAGTATGGTTATAATATAAATAAACTATGGTTATAAATAAACTCCGTATTCTTAATTCGTAACCACACGGTTCTTAATTAATTGAAACGACTAACATGGTAACAATTAGTCAGTACAATGGGAAACATATAGCTGTGTTAGTAGTTTTATTTAAAACTGGTCTGTAAAACTTAAAATCTAAGCTTTAGTAACGACCCGCGTCCCAACTGCACAGGGTTACCGTAACACCCTTTATTATTAAAGACTATTTGATTAAGTAATTCCATTAAATTGTATTTCTGTAAATTTCAGACAAAGAACCACCCAAGAAATACGTAATCGGTGATGACCACTCTCTCACAATTAAGAAATTGAACCACGCCGATGCAGGAGTCTACACTTGTAAAGTTAGGCAAAAGGCACTGTCACATTATACTGAAAAGACTGTCCAGCTTTATGTTCAACGTAAGTGCATATGTTGTTATATTTAATATTTAAAATTACATATCAACTATCTAATCGACAAATATCCAGCACAAAGATTTTCAATGCAATCTAGCATCATAAATATCTTTTCATCTCATATCTTTTCTTGTAGGACGAGATATGAACTGCACTGAAATTACGCATAAATTGTCTTTTTATTAAACGAGACAGGCGCTCAATCACGTTTTCTTCATCTCGTTTTCCAGCGTTTACTTTCTGCGTCGGTTATGATGTAATGTATTTTTCTAAGGAAAGTCAGAAGAAAGCTTAAAGGTCATTTATACATTTACTCAGTTTTGACCGACTACAACCGCACGCCGTCTCGGGTACTAATAGCCGGGGAACCAGGTATACCCTAGAAAGGAAGTCCCTGGCGCCCCGACATACCTCGGGCCATCTACAATAAGTAGACAACCCCCCCCCCCCCCCGTGTGGGAACCCCATGTTCCCTCTGCTGCCTGGAAGCGAGCGCGCTTCGCAACGCGCTCGCCGCCTGCTTCTGCTAGGATGACAGATGGCCTCACCTGTCACCCCCAGGCCTGCGCTTATGGAGGACGGAGGTCGTTCTGCGACCTCCGGCGCCTGAGTCGCCTGCGGTACCTGGCCCGTTCCCGGGCCTGTCGGGCCGGGAGAGTCCTAAACCTCTCCCGGTCCCGCGCCGCCGTCTCCTTCTCGAGTATAACTTGCTCGCAGAAGGAGACGGCAAAGTTCCACGCACTCTCGCTAAGCACGATAGCCGCAATCAGGCTATCGAACGAGAGAGCTCCCACTCCGATGGCCGCCACGACGAGGTCTCGCCTCTGCTTAACCCACGCCGGGCACTCTGCCAGCGTGTGGAGAGCCGTGTCCACGGTCTGGCCATCGTAGTGGTGGCACTCAGGCGTTGGCTCCTTGCGAATCAGACACAGGTGATCCCCGAAACATCCTTTCCCAGTGATCACCTGCATCAGTCGGTATGAGAGGGTCGCGTGACGCCTCTCGAGCCAATCCTCCATAACAGGTCTTACCGCCGCGATGACGGCGTGCCCGTCAAGGCATTATCTAATAGATATTTTGTCGCCTTTCTGAAGACTGTTACCTATTGTCATTCGTGTTAACTACAATCATTCAAAATAAACCGTTCCTTTATTATGTAAATTAAAAAGTAATTGACTAATCAGTAAATGAAAAAAAAAATTTTTTGAGAAGAGATCAAAAAGTGTGTTGTTATTTAATTGACTCACAGATATAATTATCAGGTTTGTGCTATGGTACTATTATTATAGAACCGAACTCACGTGAATACAAAGTAGAAAGTCCATCTTATTTTTCAAATATGTTATTAGGTAAATGCGATTGCGATGCGATTCCCAAGTTGTTTAAATCTGAACTATTTAAGTTTCTGGCTTACTGAATATGACGATATTGTTATCTATGTAATATAATTTATTTCTATTCAGTTAATGAGTAATTTATAATGTTTTTTCTCTTTTCAGATAAACCAATTATCTACAGACAAACTGGTGAGAACCCAATGATTTATCCAAACCAAAAATACAAGACTGAAGAAGTGTATGCCATTTTAAATGATACGTAAGTATTCATTATACTAGTATTTTCTAATAGCGCAGAATTCAATATTTAAGTTCCCTTAATGACAATGATATGGGACCCGAAAAGATCACGGTTCGAGTAGATGCACAATGTGTCCGTACAAGGACTTTAGTGTTACAAGCACTACGCTGTCAGGTCGTTTTCGCGCGACTAAAATATTACAATAGAGATTTCTTAATTCATTCGTTATTTTAATTGCTCGGTAATTGAAACAGTGTACTAGAGCAATGTATCAAATGCTACCTGTAAGTACCTTATTTAGTAAAATCATTTTGGCTGCATGGATCCTAGGTGCCGGAGATCCGAAGGGATTTTCCAACCCATCAACAAAAAAAGGTGTATTTCAAAAAGTTTAATCACACTCTTCGGTTTTCGGTATTATTTTTACATTTTAGTTTAAGGAAAATGAGATTTCATTAGCTCTTATTTTATTTACACTTTGATATTTTTATTTGCAGTAAAAACGTGACTTGCAGTGCTATCGCACATCCACCACCAGTGTTCGCATGGAACAGAAGACGTGGAGGCTATGACGATTCCCCTATCACAGATCCCGATACTGTAAGTACTCCTCTGTTGTCAGACCCACTTATAAATACAAATGAAGAAATAGTAGAGATTCCTTTAGTATAGATATTATTCCTTTAGTATAAATATATATTATTGATAGTACTATAATATAGTAGAATAGTAGAAACGTAATTGAAGCCAACTGGTACCCAATATGTGTGAGAAATCAAATTAGAATTAAAACTTTTGTGAGTGAGATTCATATTTATAGTCGGGCATTCCCAAAATACACATGTGAATAAAACCGTTGATCCTTCATTAATAAAAATGTTAATCATTATGTAAAAATGTAAAAATGTTGATCATACAATCACACTAACATTATAAAGGCGAAAGTTTGTGAGTGTATTTCTTTGTTGCTTCTTCACTCGCAAAAGACTGGATCCTAAATCTTCCAATTTTTTACATTGCTATTAATAACTATGCATATTAAATCTAAACTGTTATTACATTACAGGTCATGACTGCTGAAGACGGATCTAATTCTGTGCTGATTTTGAGACTTTACAACGAAAGCTATTTTGGCGAATATAGGTGTTCTGCCACCAACAGCAAAGGATCTGAATCCATCATCTTTCACGTTTCCCCAGGAACTAAACCTGACCCCCCAGACTACGTAAGTATATTTACTTTTTTACTACATTATAAGGCTGGCAGGCATATAAATTTATAAAAGTGCGATAATTGTTTAATTGATTAAAAAACCTAAAACCTTGTAACTAGAATCAGGGCCGCCGCTAGCGGTTTGAGCGCCCGCGAGCAATGCTGATGAAGCCGCCTTTATTCGTGCCGAAACCGCCCTTCGGATACCCCCCCACCGGACAACCGGTGGGTAGGTTATGAGCCTTATTAGTTTGGCCGTCATAATCTTGTGACCTATGTGGCTCGCAGAATGCGATGGCATGATAATCCGTATAATGAAACTGTATGACACGGTATGCTGCGGCGTCCCGCGGCATGCCATGACGGCCCGCGGTATAATTGTAAAGAAGTAAGGTGATATGATTTGACATGTAAATTATGGGAATGTTTCATTTTAGTTTCAATTTCTGTTTTTGCCTCCACCTTAAAAATGCCGCCCGTGTGCTGTGCACGCTTTGCACACCCGTACCCGGCGGCCCTGACTAGGATAACTACAATAATGTTGCCTTAACGACATTAAGCTGCAGGAACTTTACAATGTGATTTTATTGAAAAATATTTGTTTACTTAGAACCCTTTATAATTTTAACAATTAGAAACTGAACAATTTCAAGAACAAATATTTAAATGAAAATATTTTATTGAAGTTTCTGTTAGAGATGCCTATAGAGCCAGCATAGCGTTAACTAAATGTGTTTTGAAACGGTTTTACAGCAGTTTTAAACATGTTCGGTTAACGACATTTTTACGCCAGCAACGCCTCATAAAATTACAGAACAGAAAATAGCAACATTGCTATTTGCTTTTATTAGGCGCTGTAACAAATTATAAATGCAGTAAATAAGTAAACTTAATAATTAAGTTTGCAGTTTGTTGCAACTAATGTATAGCCGACTACAGCTAATGTATAGCCGGCTTACACCAGTAGTTTATTGGAATGTAAGACCTCCCCAAACAATACAATACATTCTCTTTATAAATTAATTTGTTCTCAAGAGCAGGATCCACTTTAAGGGTGCCTCCAGTACTCAAAGTTTTTAAAATATTGTAATACATTATTTAGTTACCCTTGATGTTCAGGAAAATCCTCTATTCATTTCAGGTATCTTTGTATAAGGCCAATGTCACGGAGCTTACTTTCAACGTGTCCTGTTCGTCGTGCATCTTTCCTGACATAGATGATCCTGTGACTCCGGATCCTAAAGTAGTTCTTGGTAATTATTAACATACATTTTTGTTTATAAGTCACAATATCTTCTATTCTCTCCTTATTAAAAACTGATATTATCAAATGATGTATCAGTACACAAACAAATCGGTTCTACTTCATTGGAGTTCAATTAGTATCCAATCCAATCCAAATGTTATTATTACCTACGCAGGATAATTTTACATGTTCAGCCAAATGATGATACTTGAACGGCTATTTAATAAACTGTTTATAATTTCAGCTTATTCCTTCCAATTCGTCAAAGTCAATAATAGTTACGAACCAGACTGGACAGCGAGTATCGATTACGAGGTTGATGTTACTTATGACAGTAAGTGGCTCTTTTGTACTTTTTAATTTATCCCTACTGAACTCACCTGGAACCACCACCATCCGTTTATGCCTTGTAATATATTTACCATTTCTATATAATATGTTATAATAAATAATAGTAAAGAATATGTTTTAGAAGATATCTAAAACATGTTCTGTACTATTATTCATTCTAAGTCTTATCGTGGTACACCTTCCACGGCGCGGCGGTAGACAAATGTTCCACATTCCAATTCGCCACATAGTCGTCCCGTCATCATTTTTTGTGGTTATCATTATCTTATAACCAACCAACCAACCAACAAAATATTTGCAGCCACAGATGGTGTCAGGGTCGCCAGGCCTACCAAGTGCGCGGAACTGCGCATCTCGGGCCTGGACGACTCAGTGACGGCCGAAGATGTCCGCGCTGTAATCCGGGAGAAGACGGGGTGCAGCGCGGACAACGTCAGGGTCGGCACCATCCGCCCCGGTCCAGGAGGGCTTGGCGCCGTGTGGGTCAGCTGTCCCGTAGCGTCGGCCAAAGTATTGGCCGACGCCGGCAGGCTGCTCATCGGTTTCGTGAGCGCCAGGATCACAGTCCTGGCGGCGAGACCGATGAGGTGCTACAAATGCCTAGCATCGGGACACACGCGCGTCAAGTGCGACAGCTGTTTTGACTGCGGCGGACTGTGTTTCCGCTGCGGTCAACCGGGGCATAAGGCGGCAGAATGCTCTGCCGCCCCTCACTGCCCAGCGTGTGCGGCGGGCAATAAGCCCGCCAATCACCAGATGGGGCAGAGAGGCTGCAAGCCTCCCCGCAGTTCTCGGCAGACGTCAGGGGCTAGCCAGTCGACCCAGGCTGCCTCCGATGTAGTTCGTGCGTCGACGTCGTCGCCCATGGCGGAGGTTGTAGAGACGATCCAGTAATGGATCAAGTCTCCAACCTCCTGGTCCAGACGAACCTGAACCACTGTGCCGCGGCGCAGGATCTCTTCCTGCAAACCATGGCACAGTGGTCGATAGGTGTTGCCGTAGTCGCGGAGCCCTATTCTGTCCCTCCCCGTCCAAACTGGATGGGTGACTGGGACGGCTCCGTGGCAGTCGTCGGTTCCACGACGGCTCATTCCCCGCCCTTGTCGCTAAGAGACAAGGGCACTGGATATGTTGCCGTCGAGTGGGGGGGGATCACCATATATGGTGTTTATTTCTCCCCCAACCGGAGTTTGAACGACTTCGAGGTTTTCCTAACCAGCTTGGAGACCTCGATACGGCGACTAGCGTCTGGGCACGTCCTTGTGCTGGGGGACTTCAACGCAAAGTCCATTGCGTGGGGTTCCCCCAGGACGGACGCAAGGGGCGAGGCCGTAGAGGAGTGGGCGGCCTCGGTGGGCCTCTGTCTTCTAAACAGAGGCTCCACCAACACGTGCGTGCGACGTGCGAAGGAACTGGCGTGTCCTGGAAGAGGTTGAGACGCTCTCGGATCACCTGTATATCCGATTTGAGCTCTCCCGGACCCAGGACTCCAGTAGGGGTCACGTGGCGCGGCGTTTATCCCGCTTTCCGCGGTGGGCTGTTGCCAGACTAAACCGGGACCTACTAGAGGAGGCAGCCATAATTCACTCGTGGCTGTCTCCGCAGGCTCCGACCGAGGAGGTTGACGTGGGGGCTGGTCGCTTTCGCGATGCGATTACGCATATCTGCGATGCGGCCATGCCCCGCATTCGAGGTCGTCGGCCTCCAAGGAAGGAGGTCTACTGGTGGTCCCAGGAGCTGGCGGACCTCCGTGCGGCCTGTACACGTGCCCGGAGGTCCTACACACGCAGTCGGCGGCGTCACCGTGGAGACGGTGAGGAGGACCGGCTTCATGAGGAGTACCGGCGGGCGCGGAAAACTCTGAAGCTGGCCATTAGCCGCGCCAAAGAGGAAAAGAGACAGGAGATGCTGGAGGGTCTTAATCGTGACCCCTGGGGTCGCCCTTACCGCGCGGTGCGACAAAAGCTCCGCGCGTCGGGCCCCCCCCTTACGGAGACTCTCCAGCCCAGCTTCCTGCGAGAAATGGTTGAGGGCCTTTTCCCACAACGAGCGGAACACACTCCCCCGTCGATGGCCTCCCTGGCCGGAGACGACGGGGAGCACGGGGAGGACAATGTTCCGCCCGTCCGGGATTCGGAGGTAGGGGCGGCTGTTCTACGGATCCGTTCCAAGAACACCGCCCCTGGGCCAGACGGGGTACCGGCCCGAGTGCTGGCCCTGGCCCTCAACCACATGGCAGACCGCCTCGGGGAGGTGTTCGACGCCAGCTTGGCGTCGGGACGCTTCCCTGAGTGCTGGAAGAGCGGGAAGCTGGTCCTATTGAGGAAGCCGGGACGGCCTGCCGATTCGGTCGCGGCCTATAGGCCCATCGTGCTGCTGGACGAGGCGGGTAAATTGTTTGAGAGGGTTCTTTCTGCCCGCATCGTCCGGCACCTCTGCGAGGTGGGCCCCGATCTGTCGGACGCCCAATTTGGTTTTCGGGCGGGGCGTTCGACAGTCGACGCCGTGTTGCGCCTGAGGGCCGTGACCGAAGAGGCCGTGAGCTGTGGCGGCGTGCTGTTGGCGGTGTCACTGGACATCGCCAACGCATTCAATAGTCTGCCATTCAGCTGCATCAGGGAAGCACTCCACTATCATGGGGTGCCAAAGTACCTGAGGCGGCTGGTGGCAGACTATTTAGAGGAGCGTACCGTCGTGTACGAGGACCGAGAAGGTAATTTGAGGAGTCGGCCCATGTCGTGCGGTGTTCCACAGGGGTCTGTTCTTGGACCCCTCTTGTGGAACATAGGGTACGACTGGGCCCTTCGCGCCGATTTCCCCCCCGGGCTGGGTGTAATCTGTTACGCAGACGATACCCTGGTGACAGCCAGGGTATCGTCTGCCAGGGGGCAAACTTCCAAGAGGCGGCGCGCCTGGCCACAGGGGGAGTCTCCCTGGTGGTCGGGCGCATTGAGGCGCTGGGCTTACGGGTGGCCCTAGATAAGACGGAGGCCCTGTTATTTCATGGGCCCTGTCCATGGGTCCACCCCCTGGCGCCTCAATCGTGGTCAACTCGGTCCTCGTACCGGTTCGGGCCCAGATGAAATATCTGGGCCTGATCCTCGACGGGAGGTGGCTCTTCGACGAGCACTTCCGACAGCTTGCTCCTAAGCTGGTCGGCGCTGCGTCTGCCCTAGGGCGACTTTTGCCCAATATGGGTGGACCCAGCGTCGCGACAAGACGGCTGTACACGGGGGTTGTCCGGTCAATGGCGCTGTACGGTGCACCGGTGTGGGCGGCGGCTCTGACCGCCCAGAATAGGGTACGCCTCTGGCGCCCTCAGAGGGTAATGGCGGTCAGAGCCAGAGAGGTGGCATGCGCGTTGGCCGGAACTCCCCCGTGGGATTTGGAGGCGGAAGTGCTCGCCGAAGTTTATCGGCGAGTGGCTGACTCCCGGGCGGAGAGCGGATTTCGCCCTCCGCCCGAGGATGTGCGCGAGTGGCGCGAAGCCGCTCGCCGAGCCACGATGGCTCGTTGGTCGTTCCGGCTGGAGACTCCACGCGCTGGCTTCGCCGCCGTGGAGGCTCTCCAGCCGGTCATCGCCGAGTGGGCAGGGCGGCAGCACGGGACCCTTTCCTTCCGGCTGACGCAGGTGCTTTCCGGGCACGGTTGCTTCGGAAAGTACCTGCACACGGTCGCTAGGAGGGAACTGAGTCCCGCCTGCCACCACTGCGACTGCAGTGAGGACTCGGCCCAGCACACGCTGGCGGTCTGCCCCGCATGGGCGGCGCAGCGCCGGGCCCTCACTACAGTCATCGGAGTGGATCTCTCGCTACCGGCCGTAGTACGCTCCATGGCCGGTAGCGACAGTTGTTTTACCGCGGTCGCAACCTTCTGCGAGGTAGTAATCTCGCGGAAGGAGGCGGCGGAGAGGGCCCGGGAGGACGACCTCCGACCTCCTCCGCCGCCGGCGAACCGGGCGGCGGAGGCCCGCCTACCACAGCCTCATGCCGCCCTGAGTGTGGCCGCGGGTGGACGGGGTGGGTTTCCCCTCCACCCGCATTAGTTTGGCCAGCCGCGAGGGGGCGGCGTCCGCGTGTGCCGGACGTCGCCTAAAGAGAGGAAAAATATACTGAGACGGAGCCCGCACCAGGAGCGGGCTGGCGCTAGGAGGGGTCCGGATGTCTTAACAACAGCTGTTCCCGGATCCCTCCTGTTACAGGCGCAGAGTGGCACACCGTGTGGTCTTAGTCGGTCCGAGTCCGACACACGACCCCGCCGCAAACCCCGGAGGGGTGACGGTCCGAGGGGATTTCCACACGTTAAAAAAAAAAAAAAAAAAAATGGTTTGTTTCAAGTTTTCCTTCTCTTTGCAGTGCTGTTGTCCTGCTTAGTTTGCTCCCTTAGTCGGCTCTTACGACACCCACGGGATGAATTGGGGTGGTGACAATTTGTATTCTTAATCCGTCACCACACGGACTACATAAGTTTACACTTAAATTAAATTCTGATTAATTTTTATTTTTAGGTACTCTTTACACAGTGGGGCCCTTAGAAAACAGTACAGCTTACCATGCGCAAGTTCGTACACGTAACGCTGCTGGATATTCTGAGTGGATCGATATTCCTGGCGAGATTAAAACTTTAAACAACGCTATGAAGTTCGGTGCAACATTATTATTGGTCTTTTGCGCTATTATGTTCACAAGTCTCTTTTAAGTTCCAAGCTTCGTAATGACTTGGGGATATGTGGTTTGTAGCAACATGTGATATGTTAGGTTTGCTTTTGATGTAACATTTTACTTTGATGCCTTGGAATTCGATTTATCTATAGATCAGGCAAATTTCATGCATTTACTGAGACCAATTTTGTATAATTCTGCCTGCGCTATTTTCTTAAGATCTAAGTAAGATTATCAAATTTCTACATGTTTTTAAAAGGTATTTATATAAGTTAATCTACATCGTAGTTGAGGTATAACTGACGCCAAATATGCAGCCAAATCATTCCATTTTATATTATTTGAAAAGTAATTTTAAGTAACTTATCCCCATGACATTCCAAAGTAAAATGTAGATAGATAATATATAATTTAAAGAATAATAGTTGTTTATTAATGAAGTTTTAAATAATTAAGTGTTCAATTCCCTTCACAAATATATAAACATGTTTAAATCTTAATAACAAATAATATATTGTGGTCAATTCAAGTATTACATCTTAGTTGCTTACTATTTATTTGTTTCACTAATGGCGGGTTACGAAAGTTTGTCACATTTGGTATTAAAGACTATACAAAAGAAAAAACCGTTGAAGTCCGTGATGAAGATAAAAAAAAATGGCAATGGCATCATGGCATACTATTTGGATGAAGCAGATTGATGTCAGAGGAAGTAATGGAGGAGAAGTAAAAATGTGATCTTTTAACTAGTATCATACTTGATTTCAATTACCGTTTAATGGAACCATTGTCATATGATCACTTGAGACTAGAATAAGAATTTTACCTTAGTGAAACTGATTGTAAAGCTAAGAGTTGTAAATTACTACATACATGTTTAAAAAGGGCATTTCTTGCACTACCTAATTGATCTAAGTCCTAAATAACAACAAACGTTTGTGTAAGACGCAAACAATTATTGATTTCTACTTAAATGTTTACGAAATTTAATTGATATTTATTGCAGCGTTGTAGTTGTACGTTATTTTCTACATATTTAAGACTCTTATGGTTTAAATTATGCTGAGTAATGTCATTTAAAAATTATACTTGTAAATACTATGAATATTTTAGTTCCGCATAGAGTAGTTTTAAGTTATCGCATTTTTATAATTTTGGAGTCGTGGCAAAAGTAAAATTAGAAAGACTTCAGAACCAAACTTGCCTATAAATTGTTGTAACACTTTTCTAAGTGAAGTCCACTGAAGTTATAATAAATAGATAGGTTTTAGGGAGTGCCACAATTAACTGACCCATCACTAAGTTTACTCCAAAACTACAGTTGAAACTGATACATAAAATATATTATATGTTTGTGCGGAAAGCTGTGAAGTATAATTAAGTTAAATGGCGTTTCATTGTAGAATAAGATTAATTTAAAAAAGTTAGTTAAAACCATGACATTATAAACTATGACAATATTTTACGCAGGTACCTACTGTTTCATTCCAAATGCTGTTAAATGATACTATTTGATTTTTTGCAATTTATTCAATAAAACCGTGAGTCAAATGTTACCATGTTCTTGCAGGAAGACTGATTATTCTATTGTATATTATTTCACTCTGTATCGCTGTGTTAAGTAAAATATAGATAGGTTTCCTTAGATGGAGCTAGAGGTAATCTATTGATACTATCCATCTATGAGATCGATGGTATAAAATTTGACGCCAATATACTTCCAGGGTTAATCATATAGCCTGGCTTATAGACAATCTATCTTCCAAAACGTGACAGTGGAGAAAAAGACTAATTACCAGATACAAAATTTTGTGGTGTAAGACCTTTCTTTAAATATTAAGGAGTCTGGGTTCCAAAAGGTTCTTGTTTCTGATGCGTGTCCAGAAGAAACTTTTTGGCTGTAAATAATCTTAAAATATCAAGAAAGAGGTGTGTCTAGATCCCATCATGTCCCACCTGTTCATTTATGTAGGAATCGCTATGGCTGCAACACTTAAGTCTATTGAAATAGCATTTATAAAGAAATGTTACAAAGTTTGCAGGTTGCTCGTTAAATTGCCACAATAGATAATGATATCGTGCAAATCCTAATAAGGTTTTTTTTTAGAAATCTATAAATATAAAATTTAGTATTTCACTGAACACAGTATGAGGTTTTCTAAAATATCTCCTATTTTATGGTTAAACAATTTTTTGTTAGAGACACTTAAGTTTCACAATAAGTGAAGAAAATACGTTCATGTTTGTAAAATACATTTAAACTCAGTATTTTTACCTTACTTACCTTTACATAATTAGACTTATGCAGACCCATGCAAGTACACACTCAGACTCTTTCTTCAACACATAATTATACTATTACTTTGTTAGTTCTTAGAAAGTGGAGCATTACATTATCACTTACAATTGAGTTCATCATTTTACAGCTGAGACTTTCTACAGGATTATATTACCAATACTTTGGATTGATCAAGAGGTTCTCTCATACAAGCTATATACAATTAACCCTTAGTGTAACCTTGTATCTTGAAATGTGAAATAACACCCATATTCATGTATCACGCTCCTTAATCATAAGTAGCACATTACATCCGAAATTACTTGCAAAATTAGCTTAAGAAGCTTTTTATCACTGAGATGAGACATCTGTTAATCTGCTTATTTACATAAAATTTAAAAGTAGTTGAACAAAATTATTGTTTTATAAAATGTTTAATTACCGTTTTTAACACAACTTGTACACAATCAGGTATATATAACGTGTACAAACAATATTGTTAGCTGATAAATTTAATGTACATTATTGTTATGTTAATTACACTGGTGTTTCTGCCTCTAATAAAATGGTTTATAAACATTTACATAATTTTATTTATTGCGTTCAATTAGAATAAAATACACAGAAAAACAATAAAACGATATTCCTTTATTCATGACGTGTTAACGACTATGTAACTTTTATTTTATACTATTTTACATTAAATACAATACCGTACAATATAATAAGGACGAATATTATCAACTTAAATTAATAACAAAGAAAGAGTGAAAGAGAACTAGATCAAAATTAGACGCAAGTTGAACAACCTTCTTTTACTGATAAAATTATATTACTGTATTTATTTTTCTCTTATTTAACCATTCTCAAAGCAAACATACATACGAATGACACTACTAGAATTCCTCCTGCAAAAAATATACCATAAAAAGTGCCATCGTTCACATTTTCATCACCAACCGAAGGCTCAGGTTCTTCGGGCGCTTCAGGGGCATCAGATGTAACCGTAGTTACTTCGTCTTCAGCTGTAGTTGTCACGAAAATTGGATCAGACCACGGCGACATTCCAACTTCATTTTTGACTCGAAGTCGCATCCAGTATGATGTTTCCTTTTCTAAACCTGCCATTGCAATTACGACGCCTGTAAAATAAAAACAATTAATTGGAGAATCTTACTCTTTTTTCAATGTATGAGATTAGGTATTATGCAGTGGCAAATTAAACCCGGCACTGCACTCTACGCTAAAACTATGAGTACGTTTAAATCCATGAGATGGCCATGCGTAACACGCTTTAGCTACCGTATGTCTTTACAAAAATATTATGACAACGCAGTAACAAAAGCGAAGGACTGTTGCAGTTTGTGCGAAATGCAAGTATTCTACACATATATACTTTAATTCAGGTATTACTTACATTAAGTTATTAAGAATTATTGCTTCTAAACAAGAATTTTAAGAATATGAAGGAAGTAACGTTGCACTTAAATTGCTACTGACTACCAAGCAGTCTTTGTCGCCAAATGGAGAATTCAGTTACAGTGAAGTTTTCAGTTACAAGCCTCAAGGAAGCTTGCACTTACAAAAGCTAAATGTGAATATTGAGATGACGAGCCTGTTGGTCTAGTGGTTAGTGACACTGACTGCTAAGCCGGAGGTCATGGGTTCAATTCCCACACAGGACAAATATTGTGAGATGAGCACGGTCATTTGTTCTGTGTCTGGGTGTAATCTACCTATAATATTATAAGTATGTTTATCAGCACTCTGGTTATCATAGCACAGGCTCTGCCTAGTTTGGGATCAGACGGCCGTGTGTGAGATGTGTGAGGTATATTATATTATAATTATTAGATTTATTTTTTTGTTTATTCGTTAAGTAGTAGTGATTACTCCAAAACACGCTGAAGTGTATTGTGTTTGAACGCTTAAAAGGCATTAATTATTATCTTAAGATTTTTATCACAATTTGTTATACGAGTATATATATATATATAATTATACATATATAGTTACCTCCAAATTCAGACATCAACAAATCACTATTTATTACTTCTACTTCTGTTTGCGAGCTTTTCCGCCATGAAGCTTCTTTAGAATAAGCTTTTTTTCTATCTCCATTTGAATCTTTAACGTATTGAACATCAACAGCTATAACAAAATTACACATTTATATTTCAAAACCAGGTTATTTTAACTTTTAAAGAATATTAATAACATGCCTCACATAATTACTTAGCTGAACTACATACTCGTAGTCGACCCAGGTAAAATTTATTTAGTTAAGGATGTGTTAGCTTAGCTATTGTTTTTAAAAAGCTTAGATTACAATAAACTTTATGTACAACATCTTACAATACATTTAATATGTATATAGATATTCATTTATGATGTTCATACATAAGAGATTATAAACCAAAATTTGAAGTAAGAACAGTCTTACCGGTAACTGGAAAAGTAATGGCCTGGTACCATGTGATATTAAAGTCTACCATGTCATCACTCACGTCGTAAATTTCGACCTGCAATTAATATTTTAAATAAGTTTTATATCGTTTTACATCAGTAATGTGGCCATTGATAAGATTAATGGGTAATACTCAGAAAAAATGTACATTTGCTATTTGTTAATAAACTGATAAGTAACGAAATGGAGAATCAATGTGACGAAACTGATATTTTAAAGCAGGGTACATACTGAACAGAACACGCATAATTAATCTAAATAAAAACATAATATCTCAGAAATCTAAATCAGGCTCATCCTACCCGACGGGAATAAGTGAATATTCCAACGATACGAATATATCATTAAGACTAAAGAACCCTAAGCCTTTTTAGTTGTTTAGTTAAGTTAGTGTGACGAAGTGCAGTGAGTGCTACTCTTGAAGAACAAATACAAAGTGTATTTTCATTGGAGTAGGAACCATAAGAAAAGTACCAATGGACGCACTCTTTAAGTATATTATAATTTTTTAGCTAATAAATTTAAATTACTCATTACGCCTAAAGGCTTGGTTGCAATTATTATGGGGGACCATCCAGCTACAAAATAATGAAAAAAAACTCAATTGTATGAATCAGTATGTACGAGTATAACATGCAATTGTAGGTTTAATAGTAGTTACAAATTAAATTACAGTTCTCTCGTTAAATTACAAATTATTGTTCAAAACATAAAAATAACTAAGAACAATCATACACATTTCTAAAAAATCAATTAAATAATCGGAGTAATATTGTCAAAATTTAATCGGGCCCTTCCATATTTCGAGCAACGAAAGAAAACAAGTTGTCAAGAACCGTTAAGACCAAATTGAAAAAAATAAGCAATATAGTAATAACAATATTTCTTAAAAATAATATAATCTTTCATAATGAACATCAGTCTCAAATCTCCAAACAAACAAATTTGTAACAAAAAGATATCAACGTTACGTACTGCTCCGTTATTTAAATATTTTGGTAACTGAAGAATCAAATTAATAAAATAATAATATTATTGATTATAATTAAATAAAAATATAAATAAATATAGAATTATAATTAAATATAAAATATCCTAAATACTTGACTACTCTGTACAAGTACCCACACAAATAGTAAAGCCGTGTGGTGTAGTGGGACACCCGATAGGAACGAAGTTGTGACGATCGAGTAAAACTGATTCGACACGATTTTAATTACAACGCCATCTATGAAAGCGGCTATTAACTACATATTTCTCAGTTGGTTTCTAATTAAAACAATTTATACATTGGTAAAATCTCCTTGAGAAATGATTTCCTATCTATTCGATAGATGGCGCTGAATGACTGACAAGTGACAATTCAAAATAAATACTGACATGAAAAGTAATGATTTCCTATCTATTCGATAGATGGCGCTGAATGACTGACATAAAAAGTGTCGTTACAACTTTTCGTGAGATTTTTTCCGTCTAGCCCCCTTTCACAACGCTCGATAAGGTACATCGTTCCAAAAATAATAAGTCAATCATATTTTTTTTTAGTTCAACACAAATATATTGAATCGTTCGGGAATCAAGCCCGTCATTTTCATTGTACCGCGATTACACTTCTGTTCCCCTAAATTAATGTAATAAATTTTAATAGATAATAATTAATTTTTCAAATTAGAGTAACTTCGTAAACTCAGCTTTACAATTTCTCAGTTTCGTAACGTAACGCTATATAACTAAACTGAAGACAAACTCTGAGAAATTATAACCCCGAAAACTAATTCTGTTAGTATACACAATAACTGAATTTATTTGTCTATATATTATTATAACTAAGACGTGGGCATAAAATACGAGTAGTACAATCAATCGTATATGCTTATCGAAATTCAAATCGTTTATCACCCTGACAGTATTTTTTTCCAAATGCGAATTCAACACAATGGGAGTCATTGTGTTGAATTCGCATTTGGAAAAAAATACTCTGTACGGATGAAAACAAAATGACCTCTGTATGTACGGTGAATTATAAAAAGCAGCAATGTTGTCAATATAAGGAAAATTATTTCCCGTCAGTTTTGAACAACTGCGTTCAGAATTATACCCACGTAACTAACACTGAGTAACGAAATGTAATAATTTTGGGACAACATTAATATGAATTTTAATAATTTTATTAAAAGTTCTAAACAATAAATTCTATTTAAATGATGGACTAAAAGAGACCTAAATGACTACAGTCAATCTTATGTAAGTCGACTAATAGTCGTAACAATTACTCTTTTAGTAAGAAAAATCGTTATTGGGACATTAAAAAATTGTATGGAAGATATTTTAGAAAAAAAAAACCAATGCCATTTATGCTATGATTTGACGAAAATATTATATTATTTATAAAAAAAAGATCCTATTAAAGACTAAACATAGATGTAAACATGATTAAAAATATGTGCCACAATATTCAAATTTTAAATCTGCTATTAAAGTAGTGGGACAAAAAAAGTGCCAAATGTACATTTTCTGAGTATGACCCTTATAATCGTAAGATTATACAATGCAGAAAATTAGTAAACATTTCATAAAGTTAATAATAATTACTATAAATAGAGCTCTAACAAAAACCCGAGAATTTGATTATATTGTAAACAGAATAATAACAACATAAATGCGTCGAATCTGTGCTCTCCGTAACAACAGTGTTGTACTGTTGCTCAGAAGAAAGGTATTTAAGCGCCATACTCCAGGGAGGACCTGGGCCATGAGATTTCAGGCCCCCCCCAGACGCCGCACCTAATTAGGCTCTATCCCAAGGAAAGTCAGAGGCTTCCCCCTGTCTATCATCCTCTCACTAAATTTTGCGTCCGATCACATTTTTGGTGCAGTCATGCCGCCACTGCAGCAATTAATCTACCACCAGTGCCATCTCCTCGCGTCCAATACGATTCAGGTACTCACCGAAACAACCATGCCCAGTGAGTACCCGCATCAGTCGGTAGGTGATGCCACCTCTTTTCCTGCCTACCCAAGCTTCGCGCAGCACGGATATCAAAAGGCTGGAAACGTCCCAAGACTGTCGCCATTCTGAATCTAAAAGTAGCCTAGTAGTATCTCTTTATCGAAAGATTTTGTTATTATTACATTACCTCATCAATTCTACTAGGCTTTTCTGTCTTCAACAGAGTGAAGTACTTTTCTGCACTGCCTTGGTCGTTTGTTGCAACACATTTGAATCTGTGCTGGAGTGTAGTGGAATTTGCTGTCACTGTAAGTATCGCTTCGTTTTTCTCTTCAGAATACGTAATGTGTTTCTTATTAAATTCGATTAAAGAGTCATCTGGCATTTCTTTAAACAGCGTATATGTGGGAGCGGGAAAAGCTTTCGCTGAACATGCAATGTCCACTCTGAAACAATTAGAAACGGCTGTTGTAGTCGTTACGGATATGGAACAATGTTGCAAACCCTCAGGTTCCTGGATATATAACATTGACAACATTGAGGAACATACCAGAGTAAATGATTTTTGCGATCTGTTTTTGAGATCAATCTTTTTCTATTCCCTGGATATACAATTCATAATTATAATTTTTTATATAGTAAGTCCCCTAGTGGCGGACATATAAGGTTTTCAGGAAATAAAATTAAAACTACATTGTGAAATATGTTGTTATTTATGAATTACAGAAACTAACAAAACATAAAATCAAAATCAAATAAGAAAAATACAACTTCTGCGTAAACATGGTTTAGAAATTTTAATTATGTTTTGGTAAAAAAAAATGAGCTCTTTGACATTGGCACCTAGTGGTTAATCCTTAAACCCCAAGCGCCGGACATTCTAAAACATTGTGCATCTATCACATATGTAGGCATCTCCACATTCCGGAACGTCTGCACATGTTTCATGAGCCCATTCTTGGCAGCTGGAGCATTGTATCCACTAGTAGTTTTTTTCTATATTAAAACGATGGGGGATCTTTATAGATTCAGCCAAGGCGTAAGTTAACTTCAAAAACTGCTTTTTCATCAGCAGCAGACAACTATTATACAAATGTCTTATGTGGTCCACTAAAACTAGATTCACAAAAACCTTCTCACCCGAGTATGGTGAGAAGTTTTTTATGAATCTAGCAACTTTTGCTTGCAACGTGACTTCTTTACTACTGCTTAATGCCGTTATTTTATCATGTGGAGTACTTTTTCTAACATTGTAACGTGACGAAGCTTCCCTCGAACTCATTTTTTTGGACAAAATCTTGTCCATCGCAGTTTTCAAAACTTTGCTGATCCCATTTTTCTTTATTTTTTTCTCTCTTCCTTTTTCAAATATCTCTCTCCTTCTATACTGTAAAACAACAAACAATCATCATTATAATAAGTACAAATGCTTAATAAAAAAACTAACCTATAAACTGTCCGGTGGTAAAGAACGCCTTTGTGTCCGAAAGTGGGGGACAGGAAATGTCCAAATTACGTATTTCATACTAAACCTGTTTAGGTATTTAATAAAAACTTTCACAATATAATAATTATCATGGGACACTGTCTTTATTAACAAATAACAAATCAATTAAAGATAAAACCATAGCTGTAGTACTCACTTAAAATATACGTGACGCAACGCTTTCCCACCAAAAACAGCAATCCACCGCTCCCTCCACGACTGTGCGACTCACTGGCAAATCGCGTTGCGTAATCCTGTCTCGCTACATTCTCCCGCACCCCTTTCACTGATTTATTAATAAATCGCGTTGACGTTTGTCGAAATAGTACGAGTGTCCGACGCTAGGTGTCGTCCGGCGCTACGGAACTTTCCCCTACCAGTTATTGCTTCATTTTTAGACCTCCATTCCTTATTTTTCCTCTTTTGTTTTACATTATTGATTAAAATAATGAAAACTATCATTTTATATACTTTCTATACCAAGTCAACGTTATATACTGGACTTCTATAGTTTCTTTTAACTTATGTTGGCATAATACAGACATAACACATATATTTATTAAATATTTTAACTTCTTGCAATTTTTAAAGAAAAAATAACTGTTTCAATCCATTCGCATGCACTTAATTTAGTTTAAACATATTAAATATGTAGAAGATAGAATATAACATTAAGCAAGAGATAAGATCCGCTATAACGATGCATAAATTTAATAGTTGTGTATGTTTATTTCCGCTAATTAACATCATTTTATCGCGTGCCTTGCTCACTTAACACATTTAAAACGGAAGAACTCATTACATTCGAACCATTTTACCTTTGACAAATAACGACACACGTACATATTATGTTGTACAATACTTTACTGAAAGTTTAATTAATACTCACTGTTGGTTCATTTTTGCATAAATATTAGTCTCATTACCGCCTTCAAAAACTGGAGCATCTACAATTAGAAAATATGAAATTTTATGGGAACGTCCTCATTAAAATTTAAGTTCAATCAATCAATATCAAATGTAATTTATGTATACAAAAGTATTCTTCAAAACACAGTTACAAGTAATGTATTGAAGACTTATCGTTAATTAAAGATTTTACTCAAATTGTGTGTTATTTTTAATTAATTATTTACTCCCAGGACATGTTTTTAAAATCAGAACAAACAAAAGCTAGTAACTAATTTATGGTTAAAGTTTACCTTTTTACTACTAACTCTTAAACATTTAATTTAAATAAATAATCGTATTTCCTCTTTTTGAAATATAAAAATTATAAAAGTATTATAAACTACAATCAGAAATACACCTTGAAAACTAATGACAGGCGTATTAAATCGGTTAATATTAGTATATATTAACTATAGGTATAAAACATTAATGGTAAATCGTCTTACTTTTTCTATGAAAGCAATGGTTACTTAAATTATTACACTCATCTGATCATCTGTAAAATAAATACTTACAGTTAATGTTTAAAGTAATATTGTGCGTGTGCGTATGACTACAATCTTCAACCAGTGTGGTTTCCTGGATTGCGACGCAGGAATAGACGCCACTGTCTTCTGCCTCTAGTGAGGTGATAGTGAGTAGACCTTCAAAACCTTGTATGTTGTACTTTGTCATAATCTTGTATTTTGCTGAACTATCATCATCTACATTTTACAAAACAAAAACATGTTATTTATCAGTGTTTGATGAATACAAAAGTAAAAAAGAGTGTATAGGTATCTGGTAGATGTAAGCAACTTTGTAGACAGAACATATTCCAATTTCAATTCAATGCGATTATTTTGTGAACATGTAACCCAGTTTTTTTCAAGTTAATGATGAAGTTATATTATCTAAATCAAGTCAAAGAAAAGTGCAATCTGAAGACGAATAGTCGCTGTCATAGTACTTGTATATATCAAACTAGCTGACCCTGCAAACGTTGTTTTGCTATTTACATTTTTTTTTTTTTTTTGAATTTCTTAAAATCCGTTCTTAGCTGACCTCTACTCGGTGAAAAGAAAATTCCTACCAAATTTCAAGTCTTTAGCTCTAATGGTTTCAGAGATATCGTGATGAGTGACTATATACGTGGAAATCTCTTATATGTATATATATATAGATGATGTAGATTTGAACCTTGATTTCCTTATATATATCTAAATAATAAGTTAATGTTTTCAAGTGCATATAGACACCTTTAAACAAAACCAACCTATAGCCTTGGCATTAAAATTGTATGATAAATGTACCTACATAATATGTAGGTATAGTATAGGTTTAATGCCAAGGCTATAGGTTGGTTTTGTTTAAAGGTGTCTATATGCACTTGAAAACATTAACTTATTATTTAGATATATATATAAGGAAGTCAAGTATGTATATCTAGTAGCCAACTAATTCAATAATTTTCCTTCCTCTTTTAGACTTCTTTATAAAATATTAAAGTTTAAAGTGTTAATAAGTTCATTAATTTTTATGTACATACATATCTTTTATAATTGTAGCCACAAAACAATACAGTTAAACTTTACACTTACAATTTTGACTACATACGAAGTAGTTAATTTACATTGTATAAGGAATATTTAAAATATTACATAGCAAGTAGTATATGTTCAGCAATTTGCTTTTTAATTTTCTTCTTCCATTTAAAGTTTAAAGCATTTTTCCTTTCTATACCTCCAGAGGTTCAAAAACTCGACCAAACTTCTTTAAAAAATATTGTGTCAGCGACATCAGGCCTATTTTCAGCAGAGAGACTATACTTTCAATGTGTCGATTGAGAGACTTGAAGAAATTAGTTACCTTGATGCATAGTGTAACATTAAAACAAAACTAAAGGTTTGAATTTAGATTAAATTGACATTCAAATATCCATTCATTTTACTTCTTTTAAGTTGAAACAAATACTCGAATAGTTATTAGATCAAATATGTTTATTGATTTCCTATAAACATATGTTAGGAATGTTTCTTCAGTGTATATTTAAGTAAATTTTAAGGTTCATTATAATTTGAATCAAAATAATGTATTTTATTTCAATCAAACCATTTAGAGTTTTTAAATATCTAATATCCATATTAAGGTTGACTGTAAGAGATCGCCGTGAGCGATAAGACCGCCGATTGTTACGTCTATAATATATTTGTAAGTAACTTATGTGTTAACTGTATACAATAAAGATATAAATAAATGAAGGTACTTTTGGATTGTCAACGAAAGAAGTTGTAATATGTTTTATAAACTAAAATAAAATAACTAAAAACTAAACATAACAAAGTAACTAAACTGTTAAATTCACAACACATTCATGTTAAATGCACTGATAAGATTTATCTTTTAAAGGAATGAAATGATGAATCTCATCATTTATCTACATTTACTTCAACAGTTTTTGGTGATATCATTCTATGTATATCTCATGTAAAAAGGTATGCCAATAAGTACCTTAACAATACCAATAATTAAAGAAGGATTATCTCTACCTTGAATTGAACTATAATCACCGATAATTTAAAGTTAATCAGGACGAATTAAAAATATATTAGCAGCTGTTGGAGTTGCTCAAGTACACTAGAGGTCTGGCTTCTATCAAAATATTGCAGTATAGTGGAATGCTACTTAATTATGTACCTATTTGACCGTTAAAGATTTTAAAGAGATGTAGTTATAAAGTTCAGAATATGTCTACATACATTGTATACTTAGATCTTTTAAACCAATTATACCCAAACTATTGAGAGCACGAGACCTTCGCGACTCCCAACATCAGTTTTCGTTTTTGTCGGTCCCAGGGAAACCGGGGGGGATTTTGAGGGATCTACTACGGAATTTTATACCTTAAAAAGATGTACAAAAATGTCCTCAATGTTATATGTCTTTCTCCTAAGGATAACCCACAATAAACATTTTTATTTTTTAAATATTCCAAAAAAATAATGGGTTATTTACGAAGCTATTTTAAACAATACATTATTAATCCTTATCCAATTAAATACTTTATATCATCATCATCAACAGCCTTTAATAGTCCACTACTGGACATAAGCCTCTCCTTAGAAAGGAGGTTTTGGCCTACTATACCACGCTGGCCAGACGGGTTGGTATAGGGTTTGTGTCAAGTTTTCCTTCTCTCTGCAGTGTTGTTGTTGACTCTTACAACACCCACGGGATGAATAGGGGGAATACTTTATATACGTTGTGTATTTAATGTAGATTAAAATTGTTCTTTGTAGTATATCATTAAAATGAAAGGGGGGGCAAAGCGACTAGTCGCCGCGTTGGGCCTTATGTCTGTCCCGGGTGGCAGCGGCCGGCAGAATCGGAGCGGCTATGAATATTGCATAATAATATCAAGATGTCCTGTAGTAAAGTCCTATCATAATAATAGCATAATTAATTAGTCCACACTAACACCACATTAGTAGCATCTATATTGCACCCGTGCGGAACCGGGGCGGATCGATAGTATATTTATAAGAAAACAAATATCAAGGAAATGAGTTTTATAAAATGACAGTAAAATCAGTAAAATCATTTTTGATTTCACTAACAAACATTGAACTATGTAATTTTGTCAAAAAACAACCTGCGCAATAATGCGCATTGCTTTTGATTAAATAATGTAATGAAATAATAATTTTATTACATTATTATCATTATATTATGATGGAGTCTGTTCTAACATCAATCGCTCATGTATCATATGTATCATTTGATAAAATTTCCATCCGTAAAAACATTAGTTTATACAACGAAGGAAACTAAACTAACGGTATAACCATTTTTAATTCTTATCTTATCTTTGTTGGCCGTACGAGCGAGTATTGTTTCTCAAGACAGCGGATTAACATCAAATCGATTTTCTACTAAAACTAACGAGTTATTTAGTTACAATATTGTTTGTAAAAGTGTGTGTTTATAAATACAGTGATACTTTTGGTTTTAACCACCTACTTTCATTTGTCGAATTAGCGTCTCGTAAAAATACCATAAACAAGCACAGGTTTTCAGATATAGGAAACATGTAATAAAAGGATAAAAATATATTTAGTGGGGACGAGGTTTTCAGGTACTTTTTACGGATTGTTAACAAACTTTGTAATTTCATACTTAAGTCGGTGTAATTAAATTTAAAAAAATAGTACCTGTAATGGTTTCACCATTTCTGTTCCACACAAGCCTCGGTTCTGGATTTCCTTTGGCCTGACAAGACAATGTAATAGATCGCCCAATATTTGCTGTTACCTCAGCTGCTGTGTCTACGAACTCCGAAGGCTCTGTTGACAATAGTTGTGTAAATGATGGTTGGAGTGTAATGGTATGTACCATAATCCCTGTCTAAAAGTGATCTCTTACTCTTACGATATGATTGGGATTCTAGGGGCATCACTTCGCCTCACATACATCACCTAACCGAACCGAACCTACAGACCTAAACCGCCTCTTAAATAAGAGGCAACCATAGTTATGCACGAAGGGCATTGCCTCCGAGATACCTAGTGGGAGTAACCAAGGACAATCGAAACAACTACAAACAAAAGCTTACTTTTTGTAATAAAAGATTTCTCTTTCTTTAAACATTTATTTTAGTATGTACGGAAGGCAAAATTGCACTATAATGCATCTGCGTCATAAATGCGTTCTTAATCAAAGAGATCGCATTGCAAGGTCCTTACCACTGCAACTTCTTTTTTTTAATGCAAAAAACGACTCGATAAATAAGCAATTAAATAATATAGGTGCACATCGGTACTTCTGTTATGTTATTATTTTCTACGAAATCATTCCAGACAATTTTTTTTATTGAAATTAAAACTGTTGTATTCCTCTAATAATAGCGCATAATATCCATTATTTCATTCATAATGCTACACAGTACCGATTTTTGTAACAAATTCAATCATTTAACATCAATCTATGGATTTGGTGTTTAGTGATTAATTGTACCTAAACTTGACCAGGTATGCGAATATTACTGAGGATTTCCTATTTTAAAATTATAATAAAAATTACAAACTCAATTTCAAGCAATTAGAAGTACTGTTTCTCAGGGTTAAAGAAAAACAATTTCAAAGCTAACTTTGCAGTGGCCAACAAGGACTAGAAAGTAACAACTTTCATTTCATTTAGAAAGTAATTATACATTAAAAAACGATAACAACATTATATTACTCCTGTGTAAAAAAAACGTCATGTTCTTTTTCTTTTCCTAACTTATTTAAAATCGGTCTATATATCATCGGGTATACATCGACGCAGAGAAATACGGTGTTTCTCGTTATCTATTGTTTTAATAATATCAGTTCTTACAAAGCAACTTATTGTTAAGATGGCTTTGTGTATGTTGATCTATATTTTTCAATTCTTAAAGTCGATTAATATTTGGTAGATAAATTTACACTACCCATGCTCAGACTTTCGTTGAACTCACTTGACGGTTTGTATGAAGCAAACCATGTGAATATATTTATTGCTGTAGACAATAAAACCTACTAAGTTATATTAGTTGGGCATTTTTAAACGTTGATAAATCTCACACACAACTGCCTGCCTGTAATTATAGTAACCAGACTGCTGATTAACTTACTATTTTTCTAAATAGAGACATATTTTAGAAAAATTACACTCAGACATACGAGTAGAATAATAATCGAGTCAATTATACAATTTTGATCAACAGTCAAGATAACTAATAGACCAGCCCAACTTGGTTATTAATGAGAATAATCAAAATATCCTCGACGACATCTGGATTTTAACTAAGTACAGTATGTATTATAGGTTCTGGAACACAGATATACATTACATATTTTTTTAAATACTCAAATCTATGCAAAAGTTGTTAAATAACAAAACCTTCAATTTTCTGTATATAATTTTTTTTTTTTTTTTATATTTATTTAAGGTCGCTTTTTAACAACTAAGGTCATTAACGACCACTGAGGAAACTTAAATTAATTTGTACGCATTAATTAGTTTTAAAAACACCAGAGTTTTAACATATTCGTCTTGGCTTAAACAGTCTCTTAAATTATCAGGCATATTACAAATATTTCTTTCATGTCTATAAGTTATGCAATCTATTAAAATGTGTAAAACAGTTAAGTCCTGGCCACATTTGCACTTATTAATATTATTTTTCGTTATGAGATGAATGATGAGTTAGATTAGTATGTCCAATGCGAAGTCTTGTTATTATAACTTGGTCTTTCTTACACGAAAATGAAGACGGTGATTTGTCGAAAACAGATTGTCTGATGCCAAGTAACTTAGTTGTGTTACCAGCTTTCCATTCAGAATCCCAAAGTAATCTTATTTCATGTTTAAAGTATTTTTTTAATTCACCTGGGCTACTTTTTATTGAATTGTCTACTTCTTGAGTTGTAGCATTTTTAGCTTCTTTGTCGGCTTTTTCATTACCACTAATGCCCTGATGACTTGGGATCCAAATTAATTCAAACGAATAGTTATTTCTCAATAGGTTAATCATTGATTGCTTTATTTCTCTAATTAGGGGGTGCGTATTTTGATTATTTTGTAAAGCCATTAAACATGATTTTGAATCTGTATATTATATATATTTTTCTACTTTAGGTTTACTTTCTATAATTTCTAAGACTTTAAGTATAGCAATTGATTCGCAACTGAAAATGGACTGGTAATTATGAAGTCTATATTGGGAACAGTTGTTATCTGACACAATCGCGCAACCAGCTCTTCCATTCAAGACCGATCCATCGGTATAAAAGGTTTTGTAGTCTCTATGATTGTAGTGCATTTCCTTGAATAGGTTTTTATAAATATAATCTGGTGTATCATCTTTTAACCTGGCAGCTAATTCAAGGTTAATACGGAATTTGGGAACTTCCCATGGCCCTACAGTCAAATTCTTTTTTTCAAAGACTAATGGGAACGTGAAATTCAATTCTTTTAAGTATTTTGCTACTCTAATTCGCAGAGGTTTTGGTAAATTAGGTCGGGATTGGTATTCAAGATCTGAAGTTGTTACTTTTTTTAAATATTCATAGGTGGGGTTATTAGGTTGAGATAAAATATTTGCAGTGTAAACTAAAACAAGTTGCTTCCTTCTAAACTGTAAGGGCATTTCTCCAGCTTCAGCCAATATACTTTTAATTGGACTAGTTTTAAAAGCACTAATACAAAGACGGAGCGCTGTATTTTGTACACTTTCTAGTGATTTTAGAGTTCTTGAACCAGCAGAGTCATATATGACAGCACCGTAGTCTATTTTTTGCCTAATGAGCGCGTAATACGTGGTCAACAGACACTCTTTATCAGATCCCCATGCTAACGATGATAAGACCTTTATAATGTTTATCCTTTTGTAACACTCTGATTTAAGTTTATTTATATGTGCTATCCAAGACATCTTTTTGTCGAATGTTAAGCCTAACAGTTTAATATTATTTACTTCTTTAATATTGTGTCCATTTAATCTAAGTCTAACTTCCGTGTTTTTCTTCCTCTTATTGGTAAATATTATATATTCTGTTTTTGTTTTTGAAAATCTGAATCCTGTTTTATGAGACCATTTTTGCAGATTATTCAATGTATTTTGGACTAGTTGTAAGGTAGGTTTTAAGGTAGTCCCAATACAAGTGATCGTTAAATCATCCGCAAAGAGGAAACCCTTAACTGGTCGTTCTATACAGGTAAGCACGTCATTAATGGCTAGCAAGAACAAAATCACACTAAGAACTGAACCTTGAGGAAGCCCATTTTCGATATTGATAGAATCAGATACTAAATTATTAATTCTGACTTTAATTGACCTATTCGATAAGAAGTTTTTTATAAATGCCAGTAAATTTCCCCCAACACCAATATCTTGCAAAACTACGAGTACTCTGTGCTTCCAAACCATTTCGTATGCCTTCTCAATATCAAGAGCTACAGTGATCACATAATTATCGTTTGCAAATCCATCTAGTATTTCAGTTTCAATATTCATTAAATGGTCAGTTGTTGACCTAAACTGCCTAAAACCATACTGAAATGGTGAAATGTAATTATTCGTTTCTAAATACCATCTGAGTCTTTTACTTACTATTTTTTCAAATATTTTACAAAGATTACATGTTAGTGCTATAGGCCTGTAACTTTTAGGAGAACTCGCAATTTTACCGGGTTTTAAAATTGGGATCACTAGAGCTTCTCTCCACCCATCTGGGAATATTTGATTTTTCCATATTTGATTGTAAATTTTTAACAAATACTCAAGGCCTATTTTAGGTAAATGCTTAATGATAACGTTGGAAACATTATCTGGCCCTGGACTACTATTTTGTGCTTGTGATATTGTTGATATTAATTCTTGCATAGATATGTCGCTATTAATTGGATCAGAGTTATTGTGAGTATCAAAGTTATGGTTCAGCTCTTGATTGTTCTTGTAGGTTATGAATTCACTGTCATAATTACTTGAATTTGAATTATTGGCAAATGCTTGCGATAGTAGGTAGCTCGTTTCAACTGGCTGATTTGTTAATGTTCCATCTGGTTTTTCAATTACAATATTATTCACTCCAATGTTGCTATGATTAATTTTATGAATCCTTTTCCACATTTCTCATGTTGGAATATTACTATTTATTGACGAAACCCACTTTTGCCAACACTTTGTTCTGCTTTCCTTAAGGACTCTTCTAGAGTATGCCCTTTTTTTCTTAAATTCAACTTTAAACTCTTGGTTTTCTGGATGTTTTTTATAATTTCTAAAGGCTTTTTTCTTTTCTTTAACTGCAACTTTACAATCAGTATTCCACCAAGGTAAAAATTTTTTTTTTAAATTTCCAGATGATTTTGGTATTGATTTTTTAGCAGCATCTATTATTAATTGGGTGAATATTTGTACAATGTTGTTAATGGACTCATTAGGGTTTAAAGCTAATAAATTTAGAATACTACTAGCAATTTCTTCGCGGAACATTGACCAATCAGCCTTATCATAAATCCACTTCTGTGAATATTTAATGTCATGAACATGTGATTCATTTTGTGGTAAAAGCGATTTTATTGTAATGGGGAAGTGATCACTGTCGTAAAAATCGTCTAGAGCATTCCATTCAAAATATGAAATCATGTTTTGTGAAGCAATAGTAAGATCTATATTACTAGTATGACCTGTATTGCTGTTAAAATGTGTGGGTTGGCCATTATTCAATAATAGAATATTGGCTTGCTCATCCAACCACTCAGCAACTATCCTTCCTCTGGTGTCACATGTTGCAGATCCCCAGTAGAAATGGTGGCTATT